TGTACTTCTGAGGGTCCATTATTTTTCGCTTGAATTCTGAGGCTACTTTTTCAACCACTGAAAAAAGAAAAAACAAAACAAAACAAAATAAGATAGAGAGGTGATGCGGTTAATTGATTATTTAGTGCAAATTGCATTTCATTTTACTCCGTTATATAATTGAATGATAAGTAAACCCTGCAATATAAAACCATTTGAGTTATAAATCCATTATTGCACAGATACTTTAAAAGTACACGTTTTAAATGTTAGAAGGAACCAAAGTGAAGATCCGTTAAAGTACCCATAATTAAACTAATCTTAAAAGAGACGTTTAGCTCATTAATGAGACGAGCCCAACTGCTCTTTTAGGAAGAAGAACGCTTCTTCCGTTTATCCTTCGCTCTGTAATAATAAGTCTCTATTGTTGATAACTGGAAGAACACTTCCTACTGACTGAATCCTCTCAATTTGCTTACAATGAACGGCTTCAAACAAAGGTGCGCAACTCATGAGATTCAAACAAAGGTGTGAATTTATTTTTGGTTAATTAATTTGAAGTTCGGGGATACTATACATATGTAAATATCTGACCTTTTGGTTATTCATATATTTTAATTCACTTTGTACGGCGCTTGTTCTTTCTTAAAGGACGGACGTGTTGAGAAAATCTCATTTATACTCAATTTTATACATAGTTGTCCTCAATTATTAACACGGTTGATTATTTAGAGTATTGAATGACGATGGTAGGTTTGAAATTCCAAATGTTGAGACTGAAAACATAAAATCTAAGTGGTTAACTAATCTGAGATGAAAAAACCAAAAATCGCATATTTAGGTATGAGATCAATTACTCTCCCTAATCAATCTAATTTATGTTTTTTTTCAAGTATTAGATTACAAATTTTAACAACTTACATAATTTTTCATTCGTTATGTTTTAATAAACGTAGGGGAAATTAGAATAACTACAACACTCATGTGTTAGTAAACACACCAAAAATCAGAAATTGGAATAATTCGAATACCAGTTCTAGGTAAATAAACATCCTATAACTCAAACTCTGACTGATGATTCTACACCATATTGAATGTTCCGAATTTGTTAGGCCATTAGACAATACATTGTTTCTACGCAGGGAAGCATCGACATGGAAGAATCGTCGAGCAGAAACACTAATTATTCAGAAGATGAAGAAAATGAAGAGCTTTCATCAAGAGTGTGGATAGAGTCCAAGAAGCTATGGCGCATAGTAGGTCCTAATATCATCAACCGCTTGGCTGGCTACTCCATGACCGTCATTACCCAAGCCTTTGCTGGCCACCTTGGCAACGTTGAACTTGCTTCCATTTCCATTGCCACCAATATCATTGTTGGCTTCGGTTTTGCTCTCTTGGTAATTATAGATTTAGTTTAGCATACCTCAATCTCTCAACTCACTCTAAAATATACTTGGTTGATTTTCACTCTTGACATTTTTTTTAATGAAATTTTCACTTTTGACATTTTGCATGTATCTTTGTTAGGCTAATTACATTGGTCTAGGGTTTTCAGTCGATTGCAATTTTGGTGTTCAATTTGGCCATATGTGACAAATAAGAGAATAGAGACAAACATATAGATATAGCCGCCCTACACCTGTAAACCGACAAAGAAGTGGGGAACAATAGTCGAACTTAGGATCACTTGCAAAGAAAAGCTTTGATACCATGTTAGATAATCACCATCCCCAAAAGCTTAAGCTGTCAGAGAATGGAATGGACCAACAATGTATACCAAACTTACAAACATATGATATTGGCCTAATTGAAATTTCAAAAGAAAAATTGTGAGGAGACATTCTTCCTAAGAAATAAACCACAATGTACAAATACTTTTCATTTTATATGTTTAATGAGTCATTTCTATGTCAAACTATAATTAATGAGTCATTTTATATGTTTTCATTTCTATATTAATGACTCTTTTCATTTTTGTTTTGTTTTGACAATTAATTAGTTAGGAATGGCAAGCGCCCTAGAGACGCTATGTGGGCAGGCCTTTGGGGCTAAAAGGTACCACATGTTGGGGACGTACATGCAAAGGTCATGGATTGTGCTGTTCTTCTGCTGCATTCTCCTATTGCCTGTGTACATTTTCGCCTCCCCGATTCTAAAACTAATGGGACAGTCCGATGATGTGGCAGAGCAGTCCGGCATGGTGGCTCTGTGGCTTATACCCTTGCAATTCAGCTATGCGTTTCAGTTCCCATTGCAGAGGTTCTTGCAGAGCCAGCTCAAGAACTCGGTGACATTGTGGTTTTCCTTGGCGGTTTTGGTGCTTCATGCAGTAACGAGTTGGGTTTTGGTGTATGAGTTGGATTTTGGGGTTGTGGGTGCGGCCATGGCTCTGGATATTTCATGGTGGGTTTGGGGGCTCGGCCTGTTTTGGTATGTTTCGTCTGGTAGGTGTCCGCAGAGTTGGGCTGGTTTCTCCATGCAGGCCTTTTCTGGGTTTTGGGAATTTGTCAAATTTTCTGCTGCTTCTGGGGTCATGCGCTGGTATTGAATCTCTTCCTTTGCTTGATTTTTTATTTTTTAAGAATTTTTTTTAATTTTTATGTATAAATTTATGTACATTTCTAGCTATATCATTCTTTAAGAAAAGATGGTTTATTAACCACTTTTTTGAAGATTCCAACTATACCCTCTAAGTTTAAGATAGTTTAGTAAAATTTAAATAGATTGAGGGTAGGTACTTGAGGAAATTAATGTCGATACAACTATAAGATGTAAATGAGTTTTCAGCTATTTTTATATGTAAATATATATATCCATAATGCTACCTTTTGATTTCTGCAGCTTGGAATTCTGGAGCTATAGAATCCTAATTCTAATGACTGGATCCTTAGAGAAAGCAACTCTTGCTATGGATGCCTTGACAATTTGGTACAAGACCTAACCTTCGGGATTGTGATATATATATATATATATATGCTTGAATTTATCTTTTAAAATCCACACCTAATTGGGTTTTAAGTTTTTAACCTTTCCTTCTGATATTGCTTGGATTCCATTTTGCAGCATGACTATAAGTGGGTGGGAGCTCATGATTCATTGGGCCTTCTTGGTTGGAACAGGGTACCATATTCTTTTGACCTCTTTCCACTATTTATCTTCTTCTAAAAAATACGTCCATGGGCATGTTATAGGCGTATTACACGTGAATTTACTAACTAAGGTTTTAACATGTTAATTCTTTCTAATTAATTTTTTAGCAGCCTTCTGAAAATCTTGTCATGATGAAATTCACAGAGTAAGAGTGGCGAATGAGTTGGGAGCTGGAAACTGGAAGGCAACTAAATTTGCAGCAATGGTTTCTATGGCAGAATCTGTCTTCATCGGTTTATGCATATGTGTAATTACTATCATACTCCATGACAAGTTGGCATACATATTCACATCCAGCACTGATGTCGTCCAAGAAGTTGGTCAGATGTCGTATCTCTTGGCAATGGCAATTCTACTTAACAGTATTCAACCCATCCTGACAGGTTTGTTTTGAGAATTCATGAAGCTCCTAATTAACAACAAATTAGTCCTAGTATAACCTTAATATTGGTTCTACAAGGTGCTAGTACTTTACCCAAATTTTTAAAAAATAGCATTTCTACTCATAACTGTTTTAAAGTTTAATTGCAAATACAAGTGTTTCGTGAAAAACTTGAAAATGCACCTACCATTGTCCGAAATGACTAAAAAAGATTTTTGTAATCCAAAAACACTTTAAACCTTTTTATGTGAAACAATGTTAGAAGTGTTATTTGAAAGCGTTTTATCCCTTCTGAAATCACTGTCAAACATAACATTGGTGTGTTTTTTCCCTTCTATTAAATTAGTAAACCAATTGTCTTTGTGTTCACAGGAATAGTTGTGGGCACAGGATTGCAAGCATGGGTTGCATACATAAATCTTTTCTGCTATTATATTATTGGGCTCCCACTTGCATTTGTAATGGGATGGATCCGCCACTTGGGTGTTTCGGTACATTTCGCTATGTTTCTCTTTGTTATTGCGCCAATTAAGAGCATCTCCAATAGATTAGCTAAACTCTTTCTAGGTCTTTTTTTTATACTCAAATTCACCCAAAAAAAAAAATCATCCAACATGCTAGCTATGCATAAGTAGAATTTAGTTTTCTGAATAATGATTCAGTCTTATTAAAAAACAATTAAATGTTCAAAGTTAGTCAAAATTAGAGAGTATCATCGGAGTAGAATTATTAAAGCGGCTACATATATTTAAATAATTGATTAGCTTGTGCAAATTATTATAAAACAGGGTATATGGGGTGGGATGATCTTTGGTGGAACTGCTGTGCAAACGGTGATTTTGGCCATCGTGCTAATACGACATGATTGGGAAAAGGAGGTATAAGAATTTGTATTTACTTCTCCTTATTCTGAATGCTTGCTAGCCCAAGTGTCGTTATTCTCCTATCCAATATTTATATTGTTGGATCAATTTTGCAGGCTCAGAAAGCTAGCCAGCGTGCAAAGAAGTGGTCAACGCCTAACCCTGACAATCAAATACAGGAACATAAATAGAACAAAAATACATGAGCATTAAATCGAAATAATTTTTTATAATTTTGATATTATCTGCAGGTTCAAATTTTATAATCATATTCTAAGTAGTTTTCAATTCTTCCAGTGTGCCTCAGCTCCAATTGAATTTCTCATCAACTTGG